CGCACACGTGAAATCCGCATGGGCGTTTTCGATGGCCTGGCTCCAGGTCGAATCCGCAGGAGGCGGCTCCTCATAGATCACCCCTTCCACAGTTGTGTTGGAGGTGCGTCTCCAATCCGGTTTGTGGGGCGTGTGTCTGCAGTCCAGCGGCCCAATTGTCATCTCCCCTATGTTAACAAATAACCCCATGAACCACACAAACCCCGCACCCCCTGTTTAACATTGGGGCTGCCATAATAATTGAGGTGGTGGAAGATTTCGGTCATTTGTCCCAGTTGGCTGTTCGCACCGTCGCTACCAATGTTAAAAAGGGGTGAGAGGTTTTGAAGTTAAGCAGGGCTTTAAAGTGGTAAAAGATTTCCTCCATCAACAATATGAAACCCACAAGCGCAGAATCAAATTGTAAATTCCATTCGTGCGTGCTTTGCCAGTCCCTTTGTTTTTGCAATTTTCAAAGCAGAGGCAATGTGTTTTGTCCGAGTGTTAACATGCAGGCTCAGTTTTTCTTTTTTACACGAATATGTCATGCTATGGGAGTTTGAGATCCGTGTTTCGTCAAAGTATGATGACCCGAAAGGAGTACAACCAGTCTGAAACCAGCCACATAACCAAGACTTGGCAGCACAAAATGGGTGCAGCAGCAAGAAGAGTTAAAGAGTTGCAAGCGTTCGGCCCCATGTAGAGTCCTGGGAAGATTGGCAATGCTGGCCAGCAAAATATCACGAGCCACATTTTTTCTTGGCGTTGCGTCAGTTCAGTGAAGCAGGGCATGAATGGTTCCATATGTTGGAGCATGTAGTTCCTCATATGAGGGACACGCTTTCAATTTTGTTGGCAATTGGCAAAATGTCAGTTCGGGGTGGCTGGAAAGGTCCAAAATAAGGCCATGCCCATCGCTTACATTCCTGCATATGTGCTTTTTCTGTGGATGATGGCGTATTTGATTCAGGCTCAAAAGCTCATGGTATCCATGGTTTTCGCGCGTAGCCACGTGATATTCAAGTGTAAAATCGCAAGTTGTCACACTTAGCTTCCAATATGGGCCAAAAAAGGTCACCCCATCAAAGCTTGATGTGTTTGTGAAAATGAGCGCCTGCCATGCTTGAACCCGAAACCTGACAAGCCCAACTGTACTAATTAGATCCCAGAGCCAAAGCCAAAGCAATTGCTCATGTGTATGTATATATGTCTATATATAGAAAGTTCAACTTTGCCACTATGCGAAGCGCGAAGGTGCCAGGCCAGCTGGTTCTTGTTTAGATATGCGTTGGTGATCAATGTTACTTGGCTTGGATTTTAACAAGGTTGTTTGCACGGATTTCATGTAGGGTTTTTGAGCAGTGGCTCGATCCAATATCAGACTCATGTCAAGAGGCATACGGAAACATCATGTCAACTCCCATGTGCGCTTGGCGCCAGTTTTGTTCTGACCGTCAATGTTACTTTCTCACATGTGCTTCAGGATAATGGCGGATTCTTTCGACCTGTGGGCTGCTTCGCTGTGCTGGGGCTATGAGGTGCTCAGACATGTTTCACATTGTATTTCATTCCAGGTTTGTGGCAACAATTTGAAGTGCATGCAACATGCCCGCAACTTGCGAGAATCTGACCCCATTATTGTGGTTTGTCAGTGCAGAAAAAGGATGGTTTTGCCCTGCTGTCCTTGCGGTGGTTAACCTTTGCCAAAGCTATGCAACCTAATGGTGGCTTCAAAAGGCATAAAGAGGTAAGTAGGGTTTGTAGAAGGGTTATTTTAGGATACATCCGTTTGGAAACCAGGAAATTCCAGAATTTTTTGCTATTCCAATGGTACTGAACTTAACACATCGGTGTCTAGCCTGTCTTGTTGGAAGCCCCAATATAGTGTAGCAGTTTCCATTTTCCTTTCCATTATCCCTATATTAGCCAATATACTTCAAGAAAGTTGCGTTCCAGATCCAGCAACCTTTACCCAATCCAAGAAGCTGCAATTTGCCAACAAAGTACTTCCGGTGATGTAGTCTATCCTCTCCTTGCGACGGTGTGTGCGCAAAGTACCGTGATTTATGGTGGGGTTTACAGTGGGTCTAACTTGAAATTTCCTAGGAGCCGACGTCTGGAATTCTGGAAGTTACTACGGATATCATCTCCTGGAACATAGCGTGCAGGATGTTCCCGTTGCTGAACGGGCACACGAAGGCAGAAACGCTTGGGTGAGCCTGATTTTTTTGTTTTGTTTCTCAGGTTGCAGGCCGTGATTTCATTTTTCTGGCTGGCTGACCTACTCGCAGAAAGGGTCCGGGGCTCCATAAGCACGTCTGAGCGCAGTGCGCGAATTTTAAATTGGTGACTTCATTGCTCAGAAGTCATGTTTGTATTCCTGGCTTGAGTGACTGGGGTGAGTGCAGAGCATCGAGCTGACATTTGAAGGTCCTGAGCATTGGATAGGCCACCGGATGTTAGTCCTGATGCATGTCCACCTCACGTGAAAGAGGTTAAGAACCTACGGAATCAGGTGCAACGCCCTTCAATGACAGGCCAGGGAACTTACAGCCAGAGAGTTCCCTTTGCACCGGCCATTACTGTACCTCGAAACATGACACTCGCAGTCGAACACGGGCATCGGATCGAAGGAACGGCATTCACAGTTGTTCGGTTTACGCCGACATGCAAGAGCGTTCCAACTAGGCTCGGTCTTCGAATCTGGACTTGCAATTACTGAGATCTAACAACAAAAAGGTTGTGCTCAGAATTTTTGGTTTTTCGAGCACCTTGAATCCTACAGCGCTAACTATCTGCAAGCCCAAGCTTGGGTATCACCTGAAACCTGCAAGCCCAAACTCTACACCACAAATCCAAAAGCCCCCGAACCCTAAACCCATTACTCCTCAAGCCTCCAAACCCTCAAGCCTTCACAAAACCTGAATCCCTGTCCCCGTCCACATAAACCTTAATAGCATTGAACAACGCACATTTTACAACGGGTGCAGTTGCATGCTGGTTTGTTGTGATCGAATTGGAATCAAGTTTTATTGCAAGCAAGCCCGATTATCACTGGATGGACATATCAACTTAGCCTACCTTTTTTCCTTGATTCTTGAAGACAGCAACTTACTCGCAGGCGCAGCCCTTCAGCACGACAAGGTTTCCCCTGGCGTCATCGAGAGCATAAGAGAAAGCATCGAGGCCGTGACTCCAGCTCTTGGCTTAGGGGAAAGGATATAGGTTTTTTGATGAGGGCTCCCGATAGAGAATAAGTTTATACGGTATCCTTGCTGGGTATGGTGTTTTTAGAAGAGGGGCATATTTTTTGGGTTCAGGACCCAAGCCCCAAACTCCAGACCCATGTGGCTTTAGGGATGAGTGCTCCGGGTTGATGTTTCGACGCAGCTGGGGTTAGTCTCTATGGAGAAGGTGCTGGCATTCTGGGCTTCTAGTGTTGAGGCGTTGGCTATAAGAGTTTAGGGTTCAGGCTGGTTTGGTGTACAAATTCGGTATAGTTTTTGAGCTCCCCAGCGTTGACTGAAAGTTATGACCGAACGCTTTGGCCGATTTGGTTAGCTGTTCAGTGGCAAGGAGGGGGCGAATGGCTTGGGCCATTTGCTGGGCTGTTTCGGGTCTCTTTGGAGCTGTCGCGGAGCTTTCCCAAACTATGTCTGGGCTGTTGGAATCGTGGGTGGTTTCAGGTGGGCAAGCGTTTTTGTTTCCCATGGGGTAATTTCAAAAAGTGTAACATAGTTCTCAAGGTTGCCTGGATCCAAAACCAAGATTATTCCGGCGCAACCTGAAAACTACACCAAGCAGCCCTCGAAGCAGACCATTTAGCGCTTGTCTTTTTTGGAGGGGTTGTTCTGTCCCTCTTCAGGCCATTTTGTTGCTTTTGGGTGGGCCAGGGACATGACCCAAGTACCAAGTTGTTTGGATGCAAACAATGGGCATACGGACTTGGCACCAGTTTTTTAAGCTGTTTTGGAGGTCCCTCACACCATGTCTGGAGCCTCACCCAGACCATTTCTCCGGGACATTTCTTTTGTTATGGCTTGGTGACTCTTCACAGCATTCTGTAGCTGGATTGGGGGCGGGACTTGTGCACAGCACGAAGTTGTTTATGTGAAAACAATGGGCAAACGAACTTGCATGACGGCTCGTGAAAGTAGACATGCTATTTCATTTGTTTTCAGGGTTTGGGGTAGGAATAGATAATCCCTGTTTCCTCTCCATTGTCCTTTTATTTTGTCCTTGTATACTCCTACATAACCTGATAAAATCACTTATAGCCGCATCGTATAAAATCCCATATATTCCTATACCACGCTACATATCCCTATGTAACCTTAAATCCCACATGCCTCTACATAACCCTATTAATCCTTCGAATTCAAGCTGGTCTGGGCTCGAAGGATTAGGTTCTTAAGGTTTGGGGTTTCAAGGTTCTTAAGGGTTTACCCTAGACCCTAAAGCCTACAGCTTAAACCCTGGTTTAGGGTTTGTTTTGATATCCTGGCTAGGAGCAACATTTGCAAAAACTGTCTGAAGATTCTCGACTGCAAGCCGCAAGCAGCTGAAGTGTCAGGTAGCGAAGCTGCAGGATTTAACTGCTTGTACAGTCCTATATGACCTATAGTCTAAACTCCTTGAAGGGTGGTTATATAGGGGATTATATAGGGGACTATTATAGGGGATATTAAGGGGGATACTAGGAGTTTAGATTATGGCTCATATAACCTATATAGCCTCAAACATCTCTTCGTTCTTGCTAAGCCCAATAGACCTGTGCAGGCCCTCGGTTGGGCGTAGCCATTGTTTTAGGGTGTGGGGTTTAATGCAGACCCCTGATTAATAAAGCACCCTCCCCTTTGTAGGGATTATTTTGTAATAGGGATCCTAATACTAGGGCCTTTAAGAGGTCTACATTAGGTTAGTTTTCGGATTATAAATAGGATCCTAATATTACGGCTTTTAAGAGGTCTACATGAGGTGACTTTTCAGCATTATGGTCCCGTTGTTGCTCGCCAAACGAGGTGCTTTGCCGCGCTCAGGATGCTCCTACTGCCGAGCCTGCAGATGAGCCAGGTTGCTGGGAGCAAGTGCTGAGGGCAGCTCCCCTAATGTTAAATCTGTTGTGGTACGCTAGAATATATAGGGAATAATTAAGATTTGGGGTGTGTGGGCTCCATATTGGGGAGGGTTGTGTGAACGTGCAGCTTTGTGTATACGTCGCAGATCCTGGTGCAGCTATGAGTGGTTGACTCCCAAATCCACAAGTTCTGGGACTTGCTTAGTCTGAATACAAATCCAGCATCGCGTGTGCGGGCGGTTTTTGGGATTCAACATTACGGTTGATATGAACAATCCTGCATACCCCTAAGCGCTTTGATCCTTGGGTCTTATGGGATTCTAGTATACTCAGGTCTCGAAGGATGTTGAGCGCTTTTTGAAGTGAGGATTTCGCGACTGCCGACGTTTCGATACCCTGGGCTGTTTACAAAGTCCCGCAAGCCATGGCAAAAAAGGTTGGGTTGCTGCTCAAGATCCGAAAGTTTAATTAGTTATAATAAGGACAGACAGTAAGTAGTATGAGGTTCTCGTTATGGCGCTCTCAGTCAACCCTCTTGACAGCAACCTGCCTGAAACAGCTCTCCCATGCGTATATGCACCAGTCGAGTAGGCTAAGCTTGAATACTATTATATACGGATCTGATTTCAACACAACTGGTACAGGGTCCCTTAGGAGGGCAGGAGCCCTTGTTAAGTTACATCAGAAAGATTTAGGGCTCAGGGTAGTTATGTCCATGCACCAAGATTCTCATTCAATGCTGGGCAAATCATTTAAGCTTCAGTACAACAAGTCTAAATTCTCAGCCCTCATGGTTGAAGCGTGTTAGGCATGGTGACTTTGTGGAAATGCATTGATGGCCGGGTGTGTCAGGCCGTATTTGGACAAACACTTCTCGATGCAGCAGCTGGGGGAACCGCAATGTCCCTTTACATGACGTACATGAATAAGGGCACCTCACTATAGACCCCAATGCATTCTAATCCTAATTATGGGGATCCCCAAAAAAGATACCCCTAATTTTGGGAAAGCCCCACATAGCATGCAGGGCTCGGCTTAGTGCGCAGGGCTCGTAGTCTCATAGTACAGACCCCAACAGAGCAGGGGGCGTCCAGCACACGTAAACTTTGAATTCCTGGATTAGAGTTAAATGGGAAACCCGGACTCGAATGAGTTGTTCGCACATCACAGGCCTTTTTTTTGGGGGGAGTGTATATCGTTATACGATTCGGGTGGGCCACAACATCACCGTGAAATCCTGGAAATCATCCGCATCCCAAACCCAACTGCGAAAAATGTCAATGGCTTCTTCACAGGTGCAGCTGTTGAACAAAGCGATGACGACGTCGATCACGGTGTGATTAACGACCCCAATCATCTTCCACGTGTTCAAGGGTTCCTATGCTTTAAGTGTTCGTGAAATGTTGGATTGTTGGTTTATTGGTCGCGTGGGAGGGTTTTAGGGTCAGGGGCCCAACTGGAAAATTGGAAATCAAATGTATGACAAACAGAAAGACATGGAAGCTGGGATCAGGTTTCAGAGGTGAGCCTTGGGCTATTTGAGGGGATATTTCTTCGTTGCAGCAGAAGGTTGGCACGTTTTGGTGGCTCGTGCCAGTTCGGCCTACAATCTAAGCGTTCAAGACCAGGGTCGGTCCATGCAATCATTCAGTGGAAGATGTCTGCTTTCAGATTTTGCTACGGTGGCTCTATGGAGATGGTTTCAACGCACTCTGCTTGCTGGCTTGGCAGTTTTCCAGTGGCACCAGGAGCTTCTGGAGCCCGCAAGTTTCCCTAAAAAGTTGCTTTCAGTCTTATTGCTGCCAAGCTCACTGTGGTTTAGATTTAGATCTCTAGCTGCAGGACATACCGCGTGATGCGTACATCCTGTCAACGCAAGACATCGATGCCCACGAGGCCCGCCAGTGCAGCTTGCAGCCAGTGAGGTTGCCATTTTGGGGTTTCCAACATTAAGGGTCCGTTCAAAACAACTATTCAGTTTCCGTGCAGGTATGTCGGGTTGTGTGTGCAAGTTTTCAATATTATCATAGAACTGCATTACTCGGTGTATCTAGAAAACCACTTGTTTTGGAGGCAACCATCTTCGCAAATGGGGTCCACAGCTCCTGAAATAAGTAAGCTGTTCAAAATCTCACTAGCGGGTCCTCGCATCATGTTAGGTATGCTGTATACTTTACTCTTCAGGCAATTGATGTTTGGCTCTCTAGGTTGCAATTGTTAATTTGTAGATGTTAGAAGAACTGTTTAGGGAGAATTTGGATGAGGCATAAATTCTACGTGTTCTTTGTGGGAAGTCTTAATCGTCTGGGTCTTTTTCCACCTTACCTACATTGGAGTGTCGCGGAGGGTGCTCCGGCTGGAGAGTGGGGTGAAGAGGCTTCGGGAAACCAATGGGAACCATGGGAACCGGGCAGAATTTTTGGGGCGCTGGCGACTCACCCTGTAGCAGAGAGACCTTCTGTTGAGAAGCAATTTTTGTGAGAAGGCTCGCCGCAGCCATTTGCCAGGGAAACTATCCCCTAACGGAAAGAACTCGGACACATCGTACTGACCTCCTTCAACCTTACCCGTAGTGGTTGTTGCAGAAATCAGCCGCCAAAAATGATGTTGTGGTGTTTTACAGAACAGAACCCCAACATAATACCTTATTACAATGTAATAGTTTCCGGTTTTTCAATTATCCCAATATAAACCCAATATACCCAGCCATAAACCCTCAACCCTGATTAGTAGTTTCCATTTTCTTTGCCATTGTCCCAATATAACCCACAGTATACTATATTTCACGCCAGGCTTTGGAGGTATTCTGATGTAGCCAAAGGACGCCTTTTTTCAGCCTCGATTTGTCAATGTTCGGTGCTATCCTCAAAACAGCTAAGGTGGGAGGCCCTTAAAAGGCCCCTAGAAACATTTTTGTCCTCTCAAAAAGCAAATGGGAAGAGTGAGGAGGTCTGACGGATTCCAAGGGCTGCGGTCTTGGACGGTTGCAGGGTTCAGGGCTTCGTGAGGCCACCCCACTGTCAACTTTCCTAAGCCCTAAACCCTCAACCCTAAACCCTAAACCCAACTTTTGCAGGCATCTTTTGACTGTGGAGCCCGTGTGCCTTCCATCATGCAGGACACAGAGTGGAAGGAGGTGTTTTCGGAGGGATGAGAGCTCGCATGTTCCTTGGTAACCCCCACCCTTGTTCGAGAGTTTGTAACTGAATTCAAGCCAAGACTTTACCAATCAACCGTTGTGCCACAGGTTATTGACTGGGGTTAGTCGGGAATAAGGGATTGTATTATACAGGGAGAGTATAGGGAGTATATATGCTCCTTTATTCCGTGCGAACCACCGGTGAGATTGTGTTGCGAGTCGTAATAACTTACTGGTGGTTAGTAGGGAATATGGGAATCTCTGTGTATGACCACCACATAGTATGATCACTTTCCCTTATTCCCTACGAACAAACAGTAGGATAATGCGTTGCCAAGAAAAGTAAGCGTTGGGAATGTGAGTGCAAGACAAACCCTCAGCCCTTTACACCCTGAAGCCTGGCTTTGGGTCTATTGCAGATACGGCTGCAAAGAGTTCATCGCCCAGCCAGCTAAACCATAACCCCCAAATCGTAAATTAGAAGCCACGGCCGGGGCAATTGCACTGAACTCCTTTTGGAGGCCCTCCAAAGCTCCTTTTAGCGATGCTCAGCTGGAAGGGTTTTCCAAAGAGTGGCTTTTTGCAGAAAATAAAGATCATAATGCAGTAAGATTTGTGGGATATGGGAGTTTGCTGCTGCTCCTACTACTCCTACTACTCCTACTACTACTACTACTACTTGTGAAGCAGTCTAACTGGACTTGCA